CCGGGCCGTACGGAGCATGCACGGCGCGAAGCGGCGTCCTGAGGACGCGCACCCTGGCCAGTGGGTGCTCATTGCACCAGGTAACCCGGCGGGAGCTCCGAGGTGGGACAGGCTCTGCCGCAGCGCCGATCTCTCATTCCCCACCGCACCCCGCTGACTGGCCCTGGCGGTGCTTGCCCGCATCGCGGCGTGGCTGGGCCGTCGCTCGGACAGGAGACGGGTGCTTTTCTCCGAGGAATGGGGCAGGTCTCTGGGCTGCTGTGTGCAGCCAGCCCCAGTCCTGGTTTGGTAAGGACGTTTTGAGACACAGCCTTTACACAAGGCCGTACAGAGTACCCCCCTTCTCCTCTCCAGGGACCGTGTTTCCCTCACTGCATCTGTGCTTTTTATTTTTGTATGTCATTAAGGTTTTCCAAAGGTCAGCTCACCTCTGGGTTGCGAACAGCGTTGTGAGCCCTGGGGAGAGGAGCTGTAGAAGAGAGGTCTTGTCACCGAGGTCCCTGATGGAGCCTGCTGCTGGCAGCCCACCTTTCCTCTGTCCCCTTAGCCCATTCCTGCATTTTTTGAAGAAAACAGTTTAGTGCCCTAAGCCTCAGCTTTAAAACAAACTCCTTGGAAAGCGTTAAGTTCTAAGCCAGAGTGAGATCTCCTCAGCTCTTCCTCTCTAGGCTAAAGAAGCAGACCTTCACATGGCAGCTCTGCAGATGCAATGTTCACAAGGCCTTAAACACCGTGTAGGCTTAGTTTCTCGCACTTAGCACTGAATAAATGGGAAGATGCCTTTGCTCCTTTACATTTATTTCTGCCTAGTATTAGGTTTTAAAATTTTACATTCACAGATCACAGAAGGTTTTTGTGTTAAAGAGCGTGAGTGAAACAGGATGTGCTCAAACTAAGATGCTAAGAGGAAGGAGGCATTTCATAAGTGCTTTTTTTTTTAGTTTGCTTTTCTAAGGAAATGAAACTTCCACAATTATCTGTGGGTTAGCTTTGTACTGTGCCTATTTCTTACCCCACCCAAAACTTCTGAGGGTTAATTTCAACCAAAGCTGATAAAAAGGAGGAGCTCTTTGGAGTAATTTTATGAGCTTTGCGAGAATGACAGCATTGATGTGCGAAATGCTATAAATGGCAGCACTGAAGGGAAGGTATAGGAAGAGCTTAGTTCAGCAAAGGTTGAAAACAAGGCAGAAGCTCAGTGTTGGGACATGCATCTGTAAGAAACCAAGCTTCTCTAGTTACATGAGAAACAGAACCAATTGTTATAATTTCACTGATTCCTCTCTTCCTCTGGTTTTAACTTTTCAGTTCCACCCTTTGGTATCTAACGTGCTTGATGCCTAAGAAGGTAATTTGTAAGTGAGGAATTCCTTTTTTTTAATATTGACTCTCTGCAGGCTAGGATTTAAAGCTGAATCTTGTATCAGATGACTGGCTATGCCAACAGATGTCCATACTGTGCAAATATTTACAAATATGCTTAACTTATGCATGAGTAGTCAGTTCTGTGCAGTAAGTTAAATTCTTCAGTAAGTGTTTGCAGGATTGGAGCCAGAGCTTGTAACTTTCATGAAGCCAGACAGTTTGTATTACCAATTATGCCAGCACAGCTCAGAAAATTTATATAGTACTCCAGACCTGTAAGAAAGTTTATTAAGCCTTAGTAGAACCTCAAAGCACATAGTGATTTTTTAAAAAAGTCTGTGGTTGATAATCTCAGAACTCCATGGCTGATGAGACTTGCCAATCATATGAACAGGAGTGCTGAAATGAAATAGATTTAATGATTTTTAGTTTGGTTTTAACTTTTTTTTTTCAGAAAAGTTTTTAAAGTTAATGTCTATCACTTTTCAAAGTTTTTCATTTCTTACCTGCTTTGTTGAATGGGGCTAGGAAGTTCTTCATCGACCATTTAGCAGAATTTGTAGTAGGAAGACCTGATTACTTTTAGGAATGAAGGTGGATGTAGTTGGATTTATAACAAAAAATGCTTTTTCTTTGACTACGTTAAATTTTATTCATAGGGCAAACCACATCTTCATAATACTTGGCATTATGCTACATATATGCATAAAAACAACTGGTGTAAATAATTGCAGGATCTGGTTCTGGATGTGAGTTTAGTACCATTGGTTAACAAGTCTACCAACAACTTCCAGGTGTAAATAGCCTATTCATCTTTTTGTATCTGTGGCCATTATCCTGTGCTTAGTGGGAGGAAGCAGCAAGGTATATTTTAATGCTATGCAAGAAGGTCTAAAACTTTTCTTGTAATAAGGGTACTTTCTGAGGTCCTGGTTTCAAGTGCTTATGTTAGTTTGAACTACTTACCTGGGTAGTCTGCCTCCTAGAACAGCTTGTAAGGTTAATAATGTATACCATTCTACACTACCTACTAGCATCTCCACTTGGATATATGTCATTCATCTTGCTTTGATTGTGACATCTTAAAAATTCCTGTATGGATGGAGATGGTGACTAGTTCTGCAAAGAAGCTAGATATCTCAGTTTAAAAACGAATAAGGTCTGTCAGAAGTATAGAAGTAAAAGAATGAGAACTGATACTTGCTTTCTTAAGTATCAGTATTTTTCAATCATTCAGAATGTTAGAGGTTCAACTGTAGCTTCCTAGAGTAAGGCAAAGATATGGCTGGAGTTCTGAAGGAGCATGTTTTGCTCTGATTCCTTAGTTGTTACGTTGTTCTGAGAATGTTTCATTTTGCACAATTCTCTGACTGTGATTTTGCTGCTTATGTGACATGTAGAAACACTTGACTGTCTAAAAAGCACATGTAAGAGGAAGGTGAGATTTTTTCTTATTTGGACTTCAGCAACTGACAACATCAGGTCAATATCTGGAACACAGCAGCTAAAAAGCAGGCAGATTTAATTTTCTAATTGCAATAGAAAGTGAGCAGATTATGCTTGTTTGCTTTAGTATTGAAGGTTATAAAATTATTACTAATTTCCTTGCTTCAGTACACATTTATACACTTATATTGCATAGACTAAATTGCTGCTCTGCAGTTCAGAGCATGTTTCGTGACTGAGGAGATAAATTTCAATTTTGTTTCTGATTTCTTAGCTTTTATATTGATTTCAGTGTTCTGGAAACAGCTCAGAAACAAGGAATCTTCTCTGTCAGGTAGAACTGCGCATGTTCTTTGTTGAAGTCATGATTATGGCTAGAGGAGTAATGAAGTTTGAGTGGTTGTTTTACCAATGAGGTATGTGGTTAACTCTGTATTTCCAGTACTGTAAAACTTTGATCGTTAGTGTCCATCTCATGCCTATACATCATAGGACAGAGTTACAAACCACACAGCTCAGCGGGTAGTTTTCATGGATTGTGGAGGTGGGTGAAGGTGGGAAGGGGCAGCAGAGCTGCCTGAGCTGAGAAGCAGAGTTGATGTTCAGTCAGCAGGCCAGTCACCCTGTGCTTCATTTCAATCAGTCTTTCCTATGTCAGTCTTTCCTTGGTCACTGTTCTTAGCAGCAACCTGATGACAGTCTTTGCTCTCACCAGCCCCTTGCCACACCAAGACACTCAGGCTGTTTGGCATGGGAGAGTCACACAAGGGAAATCCAAGTAGGAGGGGGAAAGGAGAGGCTCAGACAGTCTGTATTGGGTCTGGCTGAGATGGAGTTAATTCTCCCCACAGCAGCCCTCATGGTGCTGTGCTGTATATTGGTAGCTAGCAAACTGTTGATAACACACCAGTGTTTTGGCTACTACTGAGCAGTGCCAGCACACATCAAGGCTGTCTTTCCAACATTTCTTTTTCCCCAGCAGCAGGCTGGGGGTGGGCAAGATCTTGGGAGGGGACACAGCTAGGACAGCTGACCCAAACTGACCAAAGGGATGTTCCATACCATATGACATCTGCTCAGCAATAAGAAACTGAGAATAGGGGGAGGAACAGGGTGGGGGCATTCATTGGTTTTTTTTACAATGTTTGTCTTCTGGAGTAAGGGGCGTGGATACTGAAGCCCTACTTCCCAGGAAGTGGCCGGACATTGCCTGCTGATGGGAAGTAGAGAATAATCTTTGCTTTTTGCTTTGCTTCCGCGTGTGGCTTTTTGCTTTAGCTACATTAAACTGCCTTTATCTCGACCCACGAGTTTGGGGTTGTTTTTTCCATCTTCCTTTCTCCCTCCCTGCCTTACTGAAGAGTGGAGTGATAGAGCGGCTCTGGTGGGCACCTGGCCCCCAGCCAGGGTCAACCCACCACACAGTCATATCTGGGCTGGCTGGTAAGCAACTTCTAGGTGTGGTAGCAAATTTACCTTTAGAAATGGTAGCCTGCCCTTGTCCTGGCAAGACCTCTTGTTATGGTGTTTCTGCTGATACTTATTTTCATCCATGGAGGCAGGATGATTTGATATGCCAATATAATCATCTTTTTGTTTTGCTTTTATAAGCATAATTATTCCTATGTTAGGGATTGAAGCACCAAGGGCAGGACAAAGGGGAAGCCAGAAGTCAGGGGGAGAGGAGTTAGGAAGTGTTGGTCTGGAGGAGAAGATAGGATGAGGAGGGGGTGGTGACCATGTTAATCACTCCTGAAAGGCTGGAAGCCACTAGTATACATTGTGCAGCCTACATTTAGAGGAGGGTTGAGAAATAGATGTGAATAGTCAAGAGACAAAACAATGAACAAACAAGAAGAGGGTAGATGAAGGGATAGTTGTATGGAAGGAGGTGATGAGGACAGAAAACTTGGGCATGTGAGTAGGGGTTGAGCCATGCATGCTGGGCTTTAAATAGAGTCGACTCTTTGGGCAGTTTCTCCAGTTGCAGATTAACTATGCTGTGGATATACAGGCACCAGATTTGGCCTAGAGCAGATTCAGCTCAGCACTAACAGTTTATTAGTTCAAGTGCTGTGCCATGTTAACACATCTCTGCTATTTCCAGGACCAGTTTTGCAGTGCAGCTGCTTTCAGACAGTGTCTGAACTAATAAGTCCTGATGGACCCAAGCTGGCTTTGTGCAGACCCACTTGGGTGTTTCTGTGCTGTGCTCCACGTTCCAGGGGATTTTATTAGCTTGGCTGGAAATCTGGATCTGAACTTGCTT